AGGGAGGTGACAACTCCCGTAAGGTGGAGGTAAGTTGTGCCTCGCGTAGGCCCTATCCTGTCGTAGGGGCTCGCGAGAGGTATGGCTGGCGCACTCGGCCGGAGCGGCCTAAGGAAGCTCCATTTTGCGTGTTCGTGTCGAGGTTGGTCCAACTCCTGCGTAACGCGGCCGAGAGGGTCCCGCGCTGCCACATGTGGACCGATGCGCCCGACTCCGCGTCACGCAGGAGTTGGACCAACCTCGCCGCGAACACACAAATGGAGCTTCCGCAAGCCGCTCCGGCCGAGTGCGTCAGCCATACCTCTCGCGAGCCCCTACGAGAGGATAGGGCCTACGCGAGGCACAACTTACCTCCACCTTACGGGAGCTCTCACCTCCCTTCGGTGGGTGTATCCCCGCCGAGCTACCAGTCCACAGTACGAAAGTTGATCACTTGCAATCGCAGAGGTGGACCAGCCGAGGGCATTTCTCGTTCGCTGTAGCATTGGGGGTACGCGCGGTAGTACGCCTATCGGACCTGCACGCGAACCGACATCTTGGGGGGTTGAAGTCCCAAGCGCGGCTCGACGTCGGTCGACTAGGACGCATCCCACACACCACGCGCACACCACTCTAACAACCACAAGACCACGATACCCACACATACATACGAAACGACACAACACAAACAACGTGACAACGCTCCTAGCCCCTCAGTAGCCATCACATAGCTTTCCGATGCGGAAATCGGATAGGCGTCTCGCGCGAGACTTAATATAAAATTGCGCAGACGCAGGGCTAACTCATATCGACTCACAATGCAAGTGTACGCAAGCGATCGAAATGATGGCGTACTACGTAGTACCTATACTTGCGTGATCCTCGTTAATCTCAAGGGCCGCGTTCGACACTCAAGTGGCGGCTGACACGCGCCTTGAGAGTTAATCTCTCGACGCTGGACAACCGTCAAGCGCGGTTGAAGACCACACACCCTCTTCTGCACTCTGTGCAGAGTGGGTGGTACACAGGTCCATACCTGTGATGACAGTCGTCTCTTATTGCCCTGGAGATGAGCCCCACTCCAGGCCTGGGCAGAAGTCAAGGGGTTTGACTTTGACGGCTGCCACGGACTACAACGTCCAACTATACAAATTAACGAGCGTAAATCAATCAATAATTAAATAAGCATCCCAACACTCATATATCAAATCAGGACTTGAGATAACAACAAAAGAGGGGAAACACATAAACCCATCAGGTATGCAGATCGTGCGACACATGGTTGTCATTCTCACTGCCTCCAAAGTATGGCCCATATACCAAGCTCCAAAATATTAACCTGCATAAAACACAGACACACACAATAGCCATATGCCATACACCAATGTGGCCAACTTTACTGTTTCCTGTAACTCACCCCACGCCTCACACTCAAGTCCCATCCCATGTTCTATTTTTCATAAATCACACCAATCCTTTATAATGGTCATTAAAAGAAAATCGGTTAAATCCTTCACAGGGACATATCCAATCTCAGGGCTAGGGCGTCATACTGAGGTACAGGTAAGAGCAAAGTTGTGTCGTGAGCCGATGAATCGGCGATCAACCAACCGACCTGTTAACAGTGATAACAGAAGATGATCCTTGTAGGATCAAGCTGAAACTAGTCCAAGTCCTGAATCGACTGTCTAAGAAAGGCCTGTACCATAAAACAGGTCAATGTCCAAGCTAAATCATCAGCATATGGGGGATGAACCTCCATAGCACATTTTCACTCAAATTGTCTGCCAACTAGGTCTAAGCCTACCTATAAGTCAGTGCACAAAGCAAAGGTAGGCTAACGGCAGAATCTCCCCTATACAGGGTAGATCGCCAGAATCGCCACGTGTCAGAAAATAATCTATCTCCTCTAAATCAAGAAAATTTTGGCAGCGCTTCCCGTAGAAAAATTGTCTTTTCAGAATTTATATCAGCCCAAATATGAAAACAGAAGTAATCTCTGACTCAAGAACAGTCAAATTTTGTCCAAATCCCTGAATTAGCAGAAATTTGGGCAGCACTCCCTTTAGAAAAGGAGACTTCCCTGATTTTTATTAAGTCATATATAGAAATTAGACAAGCTGAACTTTTGAAAATTCAACTTTTGACTAACTCCTAAGATTTGCAGAAATTTCGGCATCGGTTTCCGTAGAGAAAGTAGCTTACCAAAATTTATACAAGCCAAGTTCTGAATCTAAAATGTTTTTTGACTTCTCAAGGTCCAATTTCATCTAACTCCCTGAATTAGCAAAAATTTGGCCAGCACTACCTTTTGAAAAGGAGACTCTCCAGATTTTTACTAAGTCATATATGAAAGTTAGACAAACTGAACTCTGAAAAAACAAAATCTGACTAACTCCTTGGTTTTGTAAAAATTTTGGCAGCGTTTTCCGTAGAGAAAGTGGCTTACCAAGATTTATACAAGACCAAGTATAACAAACGATCCCATAAAATGCAGAAATTGATCTAAGTGAAAAAAACTTAGCTCAGAAAATGCAGGAATTGAGCTAACTCTTATCGCTCTAGCACATGGCGAGTCTCTAAAGCGACTACCTGTCAAACTGAATCTCAGACCAAGTAGTAACCTCACTCAGTCACATGCAATGCCAAACCACAAAAGTAAGTACTCTCACCAGCCTCAAGTTAACTTAGCAAACAATAGTTCATGATCTTTCAATGATATATTTTAATCCTTTATACCCTGCTTACATAGGGCATTGAGACTGGCTATTCGTCTTAGAAACAATGTCAACCCTCTGCCTTAGGTATACACGAACAGGTTGCACAACTACTTTTCTCTTCATCGGGCATATGACTAAGCCATTCGTCTTAGAAACCATGCTTAGCCGCCCTGAACTGTTCATGCAGCCAAGTTATATATATATTTCCGTACCTTAGTCTTCAAAAGGAGGGCGTAGGGTTGGGTCATTCGTCTTAGAAACAATGCTTAGCCTGCCCAGGTTACCTTCAGTTATAACTCTTGATTATACTCTCTTCGCTTGTGATAAGGCTATAGTCAGGTCATTCGTCTTAGAAACGATGCATGACTAGCCTTGTTCGCATATAGGTACATATATATAGATAAACTTATAGAGAATCATATTCCTTTGTTCTTATCATAGTCCTGAGGCCTCAGACTTAGACCATTCGTCTTAGAAACAATGTCTAGTCCTTTGGCCTGAATCCTCCCCCAGAATAAAACAATCAAGGAGAGATGAGTCATTCGTCTTAGAAACAATACTCAGCTCCCCTGTCTTCAGCACACAAAAGGGCATAGTACCCTGGGTCAAGACCCAGAGACTGTTCAGAAACCACCCAAAATAAGCAGCGACCAGACCATTCGTCTTAGAAACAATGTCTGGTCCTCAAACTCAAGCAATCAATACCCCTCAAAGTAAACAGCCAGACCATTCATCTTAGAAACAATGTCTGGCTCAATTAAATAAACACAACGACCAAGCCATTCATCTTAGAAACAATGCTTGGCCCTTCAGAAAACAGAACAAAACACAGCAGTCAGACCATTCATCTTAGAAACAATGTCTGACCCTATAGGACCCTTCCAAACACAAGCAAGGATGCCCTCCTCTCAACCTTCCCCCTGATGCAACCCCATGTGACAATCTG